CCTGCACTTCCATGTCTTTCTCTTTGCCACAAACTTATCCTTCTTCCTCCTCCCCATTTCTTTTGATGTCACATCCATCACAACCATACTATGCTGCAACATACCAGGTATCGCCTTCACATTCTTCACATACTTCCTATGTTTGGCCCTTACCAATATATAGTCGATCATCGATCTATGTTCCCCTGACCTATAAGTAATCAATCGCGCTGGTTCCCTTGTGAACCAAGTGTTCCCCACCACCATGCTGTGTGCATCCGCTAACTCCAACACTCTACGCCCTTCCTCATTCCGTATACCATATCCCCATCCCCCATGTACACCTTCATATCCGTCTGCATCCGCCCCCACATGACCATTCAAATCACCCAACAACACCACAAACTCATTCAACCCCGCTTGCCCAATTTCGTCAGAAACATCATCATAAAACCTATCCTTCTCCTCTTCCTTCCTACTTTGTTGCGGAGCATATCCTGATATCACCCTCACTATTACTTTTCCAAACACCATCACCACCACAATTACCCCATTGCTTCTCCGCCTCACTTCCAACACCTGCTCCAACAACTCTTCTCTTACCATCACACCAACTCCTCCCGTACCATCATCCCCCTTCCACCACAACTTATATCTTCCACCTTTAGCCCCCACAAACCTTGTACCCTCACCCTTCCATCTGACCTCTTGTAATGCAGCCACGTCAACCATTCTCCTCTGCAGCTCCTCCACCACTTCCAAACTTCTTCCTGTCAACGTGCCTACATTCCAGGTACCAAACCTCCAACCCCTTGGTCTACAAGTAGTCCTTCCATCTATAGTGCCTTGCACCGCCACACTATAGAGTGGGGTGCCAGTAGCCAGACCATCCACAGGGCCTTGCACCACAACCCCATCGACTGGGTCTCCGGAGATTCTTCGCACCCTCTTCTGCCGGATACTGAGGGCCATTGTTTTCTCCGTCATCATCATAAGCATTTATTATTTGGCTAGTTTTTACACAGGACGCCCTTCCTTACGCAACCACAGTTATAAGCGGTGGGCCTAGCCTTTGATGATCCAACATCACTCACAAGGCAGTGAGGGTCAGTTTAATGTCATAACCAGGACATACATAAATGATTTGCACTTAAGTATAAAACTATCCTTATTTTAATCGATAAAAGTAAAGTATTGAAAATACATTTTAAAAAAATTTATTTAAATATTATTTATTTTATCATTGATTAAATGCAGAATTAACACAGTTTGCTAAAAACAGTCCATTTCATATCCATGGCATACAATATATAGGCAGATTAGTCATGAATTTACTCTGGTTTTTATCAATAACTAGAAGTTATTAAAATTGAAAGTAGACATTTTCCCATTTTTTATATATACAATGCAAATTCAAGAGACAACATAAAAGTTTTTAAAATTTGGTTCAGCTTCAGATGATTATATATTCAAAAAAAGGTACTCAAATGTATGATTGTCAGAAATTGTTATTACAGTTATTATGAGCAGTCATACATTTAGTATACATTCTCATGAATTTACATATCACTTTTACAACAATAATATAATAAAACGTAAAGACAAATTAATATGAATGGATGATTGTGATTGATTATCCATTGCAGAGCAGAGTGAGGGATAACGGTGCAACTTGTAATTTTGGAAATTAGTATCAAAAAAGCCCAAGGCAACTGAAACATGCCAGCAACGTTAGCAATGAAACATTACAACTTATGTTGCTAGTTTTTTTAAAGCGAAATTCTTATTTGATAATCGATAATTTGATAAACTAGACGATATTCTAAACATAGATAAAATGCTAAATGTTTTTTAAAATTAATTTTTCATTGACGTTTTTGGTTCTATAGATCAAGATTTTTAGCAAAAATTTATTTTAACCGATGTATGAACATATATATATACATATGAGATTTGCCATATCCATTATATATATCCATGTAAAAAAATTTAGCTTTTTATTATCTATATTTAGAATATCGTCTAGGTTTCGATTATCGTCATAGCTTCCGTAGTTGAGTTATTACCAAATAAGAATTTTGCTTTAAAAAAACTAGCAACATAAGTTAGTAATGTTTGATTGCTAACGTTGCTGGGTAATCTCGGAGACGGCAAAGTATTTTTTCAAGCAATATTTATTTATAGTCAACAGTTTAAAAAACAACGCACAAGCTCCTCCCACGGTATAACTAAAAGTTAAACTAAATAATAATAGCAAAGTTGTAAGCTTGTGAAAATATGCCGAATTTCGAAAACATATTTTAGAATTCCAGAAACTAAAAAAATCAAAATGTTAAACCAATTTTGACTAGAAAAACAACAAAATCTCAAAAGTTATAAAAATATGATACATTACAAAATGTGTAGCAAAATTTTAAATGTATCTGTTGAAAATATAGTTTCACTTTTAAAACAAACCGCGTCTGCTCTCGTCGCGTCTAAACAAAAAAATGAATTATCCTGTTTTGCATGGCGTTTCGTCTTTCCAATTAATGGATAGCATTCGTGACACATACGATGCAATAAATTGGGCAATGCGACACGGGTTGCTTGCGTCACGCATGACTTGCGTTTGTGGTCGTGTAATTAAATTAAAATTTAGCCTGCGATGGTAAAATTTGGCTATGCACCAACACTACTCGTTGCGGCAAGACGAAAATCATAAGAAGCGGCAGCTTTTATGGAAAAAGCCGTCTCAAATTAGACCAGTGTATTATGGTAAGAATTTTTTAAAATTACCATTGTGTTTTAATTTTCAAAAAAAAATCTATTTACGTTTTGTTCAATTCTTTTCGTTTGTTTCAGTTGAAATAATCCTGGAGTATGTGAGATATCAGCCAGGCAACAGTTGCAAGTCTGCTGCAAATAGATAAGAGCAAAACTTGGCCTGACTGGTTTAATTTCTACTGAGAGTTGCGCACAGAGTGGGTTAGGGATAACCCAGTGAAAATAGGTGGGCCAGGACACGTAGTCCAGATTGATGAATCTCTGGTCTCGTGGGACGCAGCAACGCTTATGCCAATAGTGCAACGCCATATACTGCCTGGTAATTTTTTTCTCAATTTTTTTGTGTGACAAATATATTTTATTGCTAACTTATCAAACAGGAACAACTGCGTGGTCAGATCGCTGGGCCGTTTATAATAGTCTGAGTCGGACAACAAGATTGCCACACAATACTGTAAATCACAGATATGGGTTTGTGGCTCCAACTGGAGTTCACACAAATGGCACAGAAAATCTTTGGAAATGTGCCAAAGATAAATTTAAACGGATGCAGGGCACCTGTGACAGCGCGTTGCTAGAGACCGTGACGACTGGTTCCAAAGAGCTCTTGAGCTCATCCGTATATAGTATTATGTTGTATGAATTGTTCTTTTTTTGTCAAACGTTTTTCATTCATGTTTTTCAATTTTAAAGTCATCGGCGATCAACCCAATGTTTCTTTCGGTCTACTCGTTCCGCCACTCGCAAAGCGGCTCTGATTCACGATACGATTTTTGATCATTAGCTTGATATCATGTGCTTGACGGAAACATGGATCGCTTCAGATGATTCTAATGTAATAAAGCTGGACATGACATTGCTCCGCCAGATTTTTCTGTTTTTCATCAACATCGAGGCACACGCAACGACAAAAAAGATGGTGGTATTGCTTTTATTCATAGTGATGTTATTGAATGTACCAAAGTTGCGTCAGATACGTCGCCTTGTTTTGAACAACTCATCGTCAAATTTCATCTGACTCAGCAACCAGTTTACATCATCATCATATAAAGACCTCCTGGTCCTATTACATCTAACTTCATCCACGATTTTTATGACCTAGTAGATGATACTTTTCATCTAACAAAAGAAACAAAAGATTTATTATCTGCGGTGATTTCAATGCTCCTGCCTCTCAGGGCAACATCAACAACGGACTACAAGTCATCGATGAATTAAATCTCACTCAGCATGTAAATTCGTCTTCCCACGAAAAAGGAAATATTCTTGATCTTTTAATTACATCAACCCTCGACCCTAATATCATATCAACAACTAAGTTATTTGAAGTCTTATATTCCGACACAAACTCATCACAACATCCATCCTTGCACGTCTTCATGATATTTGCAATCAGAAAATCTCTTTTCGTAATATAAAAAATATAAATAGGAATGTCTTCAATAATGATTTAATATCTTCTTCAATTTTAGAATATTCAACTTTATCGGTTCATCAGTATGCCTCTCATATCAACAACATCATCATTTAAGTTCTTGATAAACATGCTCTAATAAAGACTCATCTTCTTCGTAAAAACCAACGATCAAGAAATTTTCTCTCTAGAGACGCACGGATAGCCAAAACAAATTACGATGAAGCCAAGAAAGTGGCTCGAGATTTTATTTTTAAATCAAGAGTTGAACTTCTACAAAATGAACTCACTTCTACAAAAAATTCGCGCTCTACATGGCATAATTTCAACAAGCTACTATTTCGTAACAAAAGGCTTTCGCTTCTCAATGAGTCTAAGACAACATTAATTGGTAATTCTTTCAATGATTTTTTCATAAGTAAAATAAACAATATTCACAATAACATTGAACAAAAGCTCGTACATTCTGTCAACGTAAATCTAACCGCTATTGAATATCATAGTCATCGATTCAGCTCATTTGAAGATGTTACTCCAGCGGAATTCATAAACATCGTCAAATCATCTTGCAATAAGACTTCTCCACTGAATCCATTCCCTTACCAGGTTCTCATTCAATTCAATGTGTCGACATTCTATCTATTGCTATCTCTCATCTCACGAATCTTTCCTGCAGTCAACAGTTTCCCGATAGTTTTAAAACAGCACAAGTCCTTGAAAACATAATCTTGATGACTCTGATCTCTCAAATTACCGACCTATATCAAACCTTACATCTATATCAAAAATCATTGAACGTGCGGCCTTAAGAAGAATTTAACCGTACATCTTTTCACATCCTAATTATTCACTTTTACAATCAGCTTATCGGAACAATCATTCTACTGAAACGGCTTTACTTCATATCCTTGATAATGTATTTAATTCATGCAACAATAAAAAAAACCACAATTTTTGCCGGATTGGACATGTCAATTGCCTTTGACATCATCAGTCATGATATATTATTTTGTCGCCTGGAATTGGAATTTGGTGTCAAAGGTTCCGTCCTTTCATGGCTATCTTCATACTTAACTGGTCGCAGTCAATTTGTCAAAATATCCACACACTCATCTCCAATAGTCCATCTGTTTCATGGTGTCCCTCAGGGGACTGTACTTGGACCACTCTTACTTGCAGCTTATATTTCACCTATCGGCAGGATCATTGAAAATTATGGCACACGTTACCATCAATATGCAGACAAAACTCAACTCTATATATTATCAAACATTGGAGATCTTCCTTCAAACATCAACATCGTGATGGCTCAATGGTTAAAGGTGCCTGGTCTTTCTATTGCCATGACTGGGTTCGAATACAAAGAGATCTCCGCCTATCATATGCCATGTGTATGATGCGTGGTTTGCACGCGTATTCATATACGCTGTGTGTGTTTGTCGTTGAAACCTCTGAAGCAAACGCAAAAGAGAAAGAGAAACCTTTAACCTTTTACCACATGCATCGCATCAATTGAAGAATGGTTCCTACATAACTACCTACAATTCAACTTCAATAAAACCAAACTCATAACACTGGGGTCTTTCTACTCAATAAATAATGTACATAACATCAGTCCAACTAGGAGACACCTTAGTCCCGATATCTGTAACACTAAAGACATTTGGATTAGTCCTAGATAGAAAATTAAGTTTTTAAAATCACATTACATTTATAGCAAACTCCTCTAATAATCATTTAAGAGAAATACGACATATTAGACAGTTTCTTTCTAACGCTTCGGCTAGTGATCTGGCACGGTGTTTGATACTGTCCAAATTGGACTACTGCAATTCTGTGTTATATGGAATATTTAAAAGTCAAGAATTACGTCTCCTGGTCGCAGTCAATTTGTCAAAATATCCACACACTCATTTCCAATAGTCCATCTGTTTCATGGTGTCCCTCAGGGGTCTCTACTTGGACCACTCTTATTTGCAGCTTATATTTCACCTATCGGCAGGATCATTGAAAATTATGGCATACGTTACCATCAATATGCAGATAAAACTTAAAGCTATATATTATCAAACATTAGAGATCTTCCTTCAAACATCAACATCCTTACCACATGCAATCAACAATTCAACTTCAATAAAACCAAGTTCATAACACTGGGGTCTTTCTACTCAATAAATAATGGCAGATTGAAAATAATTTCCAAAAACAATAAATTAACACTAACAGTGTCTTGAGTGTCACCATAAATGCAAACTTATAAACCAAGATATAATAAAATACTTTATCCATCTAACCCCATTAATCCCATTCTACACCTGAATAGCATAAAATTAACTACACATTTCCCATGCAATAGAAAAAATAAACAAACATTCATGCATCCATCTAATTTCCTTAACCTCCCCTACCCATATACCAACTCATATACCCACCTACTCATGAATCATTAATTATTATATCAGATAATTATATTAGAACCTACAAATTTCATTAACTATTTACCAATCAATAAAAACAAACCAAACACTCATATGAAAAACAATAATAATAATAAGAAAGTTGTGAAGTCAATATAAAATATAATTAACCAAAAAATTTATAAATGAAATACGCACATGCATTCAACCATAAAATGGGTAATGAAATAATCAATCCAAGTCAATCATACATATTCCCAGTCATTACTGATAAAAAATAAAGTCCTTAATAATTGATTCCATCATTTTACAACACACAGAAGTAAGAGAAATAGGCCTGTAGTTACTAATCAAACTTTTACTTCCTTTTTTGTGTATTGGTATTACTATGCTAGCCTTCCAATCTGCTGGAATCATACCGGTATCTAGTGAACATTGAAAAATTTGCCTAACTGCAGAAACAACAACTGTTTTACTTTCCAACAATATCCGTGGATGAATATTATCAGGCCCTGCAGATTTGTTCTTATCCAATAAAGAAATCTTTTTAGACACTACGTCATCCATTCCGGCAGCCGGAACCAATGGATATAACGAGTCATTATAATTAACCTCATTGTCAAGTTTATAAACCGATGAAAAGAACTTTGCCAAAGCTTGGGCTTTTTCATCATCACCCGTGAGATCTGTGTTCTGTACTCTGAGTGTTTCAACCCTGCCCACTGTTGTTATTTTCTTCTTCACCTGTTTCCAGAACAGTTTTGGGTTGTTATGATAGTTTCTGGCAATAAAATTCTGGTTATCTCTGTCCAGCTGTTTACATTCTGCTCGAACTTTATCTCTCGTAGACCTGAAACTCTGCAATAAGTCAACGTCTCCATATTTATAGATTCTTTTCCAATAGTAGTGCTTAAGCTTGATAAGTCGCCTCAGTTTAAAGTTGACATGCTTAACAACACAGCTACCACATATTTTCATAGGAACATATTTTGAAGTAGCCTCACTAATCAAAAAACAAAATTTTTGCCATAAATTTTCTACGTTGCTCTTTTGGTCTACATCCACAGTTGTATCAACAGATAACATGCTAGAAAGATATTTGTTAATTGCATCGTACTGTCCAAGATTAAAACACAACTTCTTCCTAGGTTTACTGTGCAAAATTGAACAATCAAAAATTTTAAATGAAATCAATAAGTGGTCACTTCTGCCCAGAGGAGATGAATACTGCAAATCTGATACGCAATCTTCAGACGTGATAATTAAATCCAAAACATGAGGACAACTGTTAGTTCCATATCTTGTTGGTTCGTTGACATGCTGCAGCCAAAACCTATCATCAATAAGCTGCAAAAATCTATTTTCAATCTTGTAGTCAGAACCTGCACAAACTCTCAGCTTCCAATCTATATCTGGAAAATTAAAATCACCCAAAACAAGATGTCTACCAGACAAATCACCAAACTCATTCAAGACACCAATGAGATTGTCATTATTATCATTACTTGAATTAGGACTTCTGTAAATTATCATTAAATTTAAATTTTGATCTCTGACGTTAATCCTGGCACACAAATATTCATCAAATATGGAATCCAGTTGAACACTAAACAGCTGCAAATTGATTTTGTAATATAACATAATACCTCGATAACTTGCTTTGCAGAAATTTGAAACCAAGTAACTATATCCAGGCAAATTAAATTCGTTAATGTTCCATGAAGAGTTTTTAACATTTTTAGGGTTTACTTCATTTATAACTATTAAATCATACTTTAAATCCGATGCATCTAAAAATAGATTCAATTCTGAAAATTTATTTGTGAGACAATCAACATTGGTATACAAAACATTAAGCACATCATTAGGATTCTTTACCATACTAGGATGATTATAATTAAACTCACTGCCTTCTCTTGACTTTGATCTCTTTATAAATTTGTCTTTTTAAAAACAAATACATGAAACTCACCTGGTTGTCCTTTTATCTTAAATATCCAGTTATTAATGTCGTCCTTTTCTGCAATTTTCTTCTTTTTATCATCGAGAAGCTGTTTACAAATATCTCTATCTAATTTAATAAGGTCATGGTTAATGTAGACTCCATTGAATGATTTACTCCTCCTCAGTTTGAAACAGTTTTCTAGTATCAGATTTTTAGTAGTTAAATTCAATAATTTAATTAAAATAGGCCTTGGCTTTTGATCATTCACCCTTTTACCAAGTCTGAATACATTTGAAACCTCCTTTTCCAAGTTTTCATCAGTTATCTCCTTCAACAATTGAAGCACTTTCTTTTTATCTGCTTTCCAAGAAAAACTTTCATTTTCTGGTATGTTGAAAATGACTAAATTGTTTCGACGGATATTTCTTTCATTAGCAACATCCAGATGATTTTTTGTGTCCAGCACCGATGAATGTATTTCCTTGACATTTGTTGTCAAACTCTCAAAATTACCTTTAACTACTTCATTCCACTTTTTTGTCATTTCCTCTTCCTTGGCTACCTGATTTTTTACCTCATTGAGACTATTCTTCAAGTTAGTTTGTTCCCTCATCTGTTCTTTTAGCATCTCTTCTCTAAATGTGACTTTTTCCATCATCTGAGTTAGACATCTGACTTCATTTGCCATTTTTTCTTCCAACTGTTTGATAGCAACAAGCAATCTTTCCTCCCCATAATTAGTCAGTGTTTTTATTCTTTCTTCATTTACTTTCCTACAACCTTCACACAGATGCAATCCCGCAATATCACTCATCTTATTGGTCACCTTCTTTGTCCGTGCGGTTATGTTAGGATTAGTGTTTTCCATTTTCACTTTCTTTAGTCGGCGAAATACAACAGGATTTGAAAATTATTAATTAAATAAATTTTCCAATACTGTTAATAACTTAAAATTAAATTTTTTAAACTCGAAATTGATAAATTTATTGAAAATTTAAATTGTAAAGAAAACTTTCCGAACGTAAGTGATTTAACATTAGATCCTTTGTTTGTTAGGTGATGAAATTTATTTTTAACTAATCCAAACAAATCATAGCACGAACCCACTCTACCATTTATTAATTTGACTCTTTTTTTACCGGAAATTTCACTATTTTCCACCTTCCCACCTCCCCTCGCACTCTGTATAAAAAACCCTCTTTACAGTTGGTTTCTCTCGCCTTTGCATCATCTAAAATTCTTTTCAGCTTCTTGCGCTGATCAACAGTCAAATCATGAATCAATTTGACGTGTGCAAAATCATCGTTCAAAGATCTGAGTTTGTACAAATTGGTAAAGAAATATTCCTTGCTTTTTACATCATCAAACTTGATGAGGATTGGCCTGACAACTCCTTTACCTCTCTTACCCAATCTAAAAACTTTCAGTATATTTTTTCCGTTGACAGTGTCATCGGTCAATTTTGCAATCATTTTTGTGACCCGATCCTTGTCATCAAGGCCTTCTCCCAGCCTGAGCAGCATCGCATTAGCCTCTCTTTCTTTAGCATCGGCAACATCATTTAGTGTTTTTCGGACATTTTTAAGATCTTCATTGATGATCTTAGCACTCTGTTTCACTTCAGTGCTGACCACACTAGCAAAAGATCTCATCATTTTAGACTTGAGGCCGCTTATCTCTTGATTTAACTTTTTTCCCGATGTGCACTTTCAATGTTTTCAGTGTGAGTGCACGGCTAATGTTGATTCAATGTCTGACTAGGTTTATTCAGTTGTACGTTTAAACGGTAACATTAAATGGTTCTGTGATAAATGTGTAAAAAACGTTTATGACATGAAATTGTTATCTAAATCTATTGATGACATAAAAGTTACGTTCAATGAAAAGTTAGACAAACTCAACGATGTTAATGCTTCTATTAAGACTAAATTGGAAGAAACTGATTTGGGGCTGTTGAATAAATCGATTGATGAAATCAGTAAATCACTTGATGAAAAAGTTAATGCCATCAGTGCCAACCACGTCACTATAAAATCGCAGCTGGACTCGATTGAGCTGTTTCAACGTAAGTACACCGTCTTTCTTACCTGGATTTTGACGTGTATTCATAATAACAGGTGGAACAAAACTGTACACTGCAATTAACACGTGACTAAATAAACTCTATGAAAATTCGATTCAAATGCCAAAAATACGCAACTTTAAATATTGAATTAAATTAAAACAGTATCTAGAATTTAATTGCAATAATATGTCAAATTTTCAGAAACAAAATCAACACTAAAACTCCGAAAATCGAGAATCTCTAGCAGAGCGAAAACAAACAATACAATAGCCACGATGTATGTATATATATATATATATATATATATATATATATATATATATATATATATATATATATATATATATATATATATATATATATATATATATATATATATATATATATATATATATATATATATATATATATATATATATAATTTATATTATATATACTTAATTAAATTTAAATTAAGAAATATCAGTAACAACAATAATAATAACTACCAGTAACAATATTATCACCAACAACAATAATCATTCTATTGATAATGATAACTCCATTGCCAACTATAACATCATTAATAACAACAACAATAACAGTAATCTTAATATCGATAACGATAACAACAACAATAATCACAATAATGACTATAACAATATTATTCATAATACTAATAATTATAACGAAAGCATTGTCAACAACAACAACGATGAAGTCAATAATAACAACAATAATCCAGATACTAATCACAACATCATAGTCAACAACTATAGTAACCAAAACAACACCTACTACAATAACGCCAATAATAACAATAACAATACTACCAACAGCATTCACAACAATAATAATGATAAAGATATTATTCTATATTACCGCAGCATCATGTCCATATATATATATATATTTGTTTCTCAAAATTAAAAAATTTAAAGAAAGCTGGATGACCATAATAAAATTTATACATAATTCATCTGGTAAGACCACCTAAACAGAGATGTTCCATATTAACAAAATGTTCCGTAACTGATATAAAAGTTTTCTATGTTTAAACAAAAATGTTCGGCAACTAATATACAAATATTCTAATTAAATTAATTATTGCGATAATTGGTAAAAGTGATGTAACTAATGTTGTGTAGGCACAATTAAATAGCTCAAATTACCTATTTCTAAGAATAAAAATGTTTACGCTTGGGTATCTATTAGTTATTAAACGTTAATATTTTGTTTGAATGGCACGTTCTTATCAATCTGATAACAAAAATGTTTTCAAGTTTTTTTTTAAAAGAAAAAATATTAAAACCACGATTTAAAAATTCTCGTTTCATGAGGTTGTTCCATATTCGTAGTCCGACGCAGTACACATGAGAGAACATTATGTTGGTCTTGCTCTTGTTCGACGCCATGAATTGCACAAATCTAGTCGACTAAGTTGGCTTGTAGTATCCGTTGAAAGATATGGCAACTGGTTCGACAGCTGTTTGTATACAAAGATCGCCACACAATATTCATGAAGACTATCGAAATCCAAATTATTTGTTGCTTTGAAGAGCCTGTCTGCATGTTCGCGAAAATGTAAATTTGTTATCAAACGAACCGCTCTTTTCATAAGAATTTTGATCGGGTTAGTTGTTGTTCTGTACGCCGATGCCCACACCAGGTTGCAATATGTAACATGCGTCAGACAGAGCGAGTTGTAAACGGTATTTAAACAATTTCTGGGCAAAATGTGACGGAGTTTATTCAAGATACCAATTGCTTTTGAGAATTTGTTTGCGATGTTAGAGACGTGGCACTTGAATGATAACATGTGGTTGAGTGTCACTCCAAGAAATTTTGCTGTCCAGCTTTCCACAATGCTGCTGCCGTCGATGTTGATCTTATAGGGCTCCTTATAGTTGAGGTATTGTGTAAGACCGAAAATGATGATGAAATGAAGTTTATATATATATATATATATATTATTGGTAAATCATTATCCGCCATAGGCCAGACGTACGTTTCGTCTCTCACGAGACTCGTCAGTAGCCTGCCGAATAAGGCTTTAGATAACACAACTCAATTATTGTAACCAAGTAACTCAAATTGAGGTGTCGCGACCAATAGGAAAGAACAACATCACGTTGTTACAAGGTTTAAGAACCCATTCAGTCGCAAAAAGTATTATTGGTAAACCATTACCCGCCATAGGCTAGACGTACGTTTCGTCTCTCACAAGACTCGTCAGTAGCCTGCCGAATAAGGCTTTAGATAACACAACTCAATTATTGTAACCAAGAAACTCAAATTGAGGTGTCGCGACCAATAGGTAAGAACAACATCACGTTGTTACAAGGTTTAAGAACCCATTCAGTCGCAAAAAGTATTATTGGTAAACCATTATCCGCCATAGGCCAGACGTACGTTTGGTCTCTCACGAGACTCGTCAGTAGCCTGCCGAATAAGGCTTAAGATAACACAACTCAATTATTGTAACCAAGAAACTCAAATTGAGGTGTCGCGACCAATAGGTAAGAACAACATCACGTTGTTATATGAAATATTTTAATTATGTACTATTTTAACAGCAAATATTATATAATATTGTTTACTTATCGTCATTTTATTTTATATATTTTAATTAACTTATCATATTTTATTTATTCTAATTTAATTTCTTATCTCACATATTCTTAATTACATTTCAACGTAATTTATTCTATTTCAATTTCATATAT